TTGAGAAAGCGCCATACCGCCTTCCACAGTGATTGCACCATTTTACACTCCCACCAACAGTGAATAAAGGTTCCAGTTTCTCCACAACCTTGCCAGCATTTGTTGCTTGCTGTTCTCTTAAATTTTGCTGTTCTGACTGGGGTGAGATGATATAGTTGTTTTAATTTGCATCTCTCTTAGAGCTAGGGATTTTGAACATTTCTTCATATGCTTGTTAGTCATCTCAATGTCTTCTTAGATGAAGTTCATATTCCTGGGCCCATTTTTCTATTGGATTATTTACCTTTATCTTGTTGTGGTACTCAAGTAGTTTATAAATTCTGGATAGAAGTCTCTTATGTGATACGTCATTACCAAATACTTTTTCCCAGTCAGTGGCTTCCCTTTTTACCCTGTTGGAGAAGTGCTTGGATGTGCTCTTCTCTAGTCTTAGAAACGGTAGTAATTGTTCTTGAGGTTACCTGTCCTGCCTTTGATTAGAGGAACTAACTTCTTCAGGAAATTGTACAAGTTACCTTGGCGCTGCCTTTATTTCAGATGAGGTAATAAACTATAGATTCCCCAGAAGATGTTGAATTTCTAAGAATTCACTGTCTGCCATTATTAGTACCTCTACTCAGTGCTATTTGAATGCTTTAGAAAAATACCTGTTGGATCCTTAAATGTTTCTCTGTGGCAGTGAAACCTTAAGTCATTGGGGTATCTTTATAGTAGTAGGTCTTGTGATTTTAGTAGTGTGGGTACATAATATTTAAGAGCCAAGGGTTACTTTCCGTACACCTTCCACGATACACGTGTATATTGTAATTGCTTACTGTGACAGCCTAGAGTGTGGATATTTGTCCTGGTTTCTGATGTGAATGCCAAGAGATCTTCCTGCTTTTTACATACCACTGAACTCCAGTACTGCTCAGTGATGTGTCTTATGTGTCATGGCGATGCATCAGGTCTCAATGTCATTTAAGAAGTGGAACAAATTTACAGAACAAAAAACCGAGTTGATTCTGATTCAGTGACCCTGTAGGATAGAATGGAACCATTCAGTAAAACTTTAGAGGTTTTGAATCTTTACTGAATCAAGCTGCCAGTCTCCTCCCTTGGTGTAACAGCAGCTGACCCCCTTAACTGCACAATTCAGAAAGGAAAAAAGTTAGTCCTTGGCCTTCTGTTGCTTTTTAGATTTCTTCAACGGTCACAAGGCAGTACTTTTTATTGTGAGCACCTCTTGACCTTCAAAATAGTGTAATGGAAACTTACTCTATTCTAATTATGTTGTTTTTGTTGTTAATGTACTGTCGATTCTGATCTAAACCATAGCTGACCTTGCCTTTGCTTTTCAGAGGCAGTAAATCTCATGGGAGGAGATTGCCTATCTTTCTCTCACAGAGCAGCTAGTCAGTTCAAACCATGTACTTTTTCCCGTTGACGTTGCAGTTTTTTCCACTAAGCCACCAGAATTCCTCAATAAATTACATGAGAAGTGATTGCCCATCTTTCTCCTGCAGAGCAGCTGGTGGATTTGAACAAGGTGTGTTTGGGTTAGCAGCACAACTCTTTACCACTAAGCAGCCAGAGCTCCCTTAATGTGTCTTGGATTTGATCTTTAGAAGGTGACCTCATTGATAATAGGTCATCTCATAATATAATCTTAGTAACATGCATTTGATTCTTAGTTTGCTTTCTTAATCATTATGTTCCTTTCATTCTCACAGGTGGCTAAAGCCCTTAGACATAGCAGGGTACTAATAGTCTTTGACACACCTATGTAAGCAAGTTGTCATTATGTGCTGTTGTCTCTGACTCATAGCAACCCTATGTACAACAGCTCTGGAGCCTGCCTTGTCCTCAGCCAGTCTCACTGACTCTGACACACTGATCCCCATTACCATAGTGTCAACCCATTTCATCTGGGATCTTCTTCACCTGTGCTGTCCCTTGACTCTTCAAGCATGATGTCCTTCTCTAAGGACTAGTTTTCCTGGCCTCATTCCCAGATTATGTGGGATGGAGCTTCAAAATCCTTGCATGCAAGGAAAAACTTGGTTTTGCCAACTCCAAGACAGATCTGTTCTCATGGCAGTACATGGTATGTTTAAAATTTTCTCCAACACCACAGCTCAAAGGCATTAATTATTCTTCTGTCATCCTTGGCTGTTGCCCAGCTCTGATGCATAGCAAGTAATTGTGAAGACCATGGTCTGAGTCAGGCACCCCTTAGTCTCTAGACTGGCATCCTTGCTCTTCGGCACCCTAGAGCGGTCCTTGGCAGCAGATTTTCTTCGTGTAATTCATCTTTTGATGTCCTGACTGCTAATGTCAAGACTGTTGATTTGATGTCCTGACTGATAATGTCAAGACTGTTGTATATGTAGCCATAAGTATAATAATATCCTTAAAATGGGGAATTTTCCCCCTAAAATTAGGATAGGGATAATGATACACTGTTTTACAAAGTATTTAAACATACTACTTTTAAGCAAACTTTGTCAACAAGATGAAAGGTTTGCAAACCCACCTTTGCCTACCCCTCCGACCTTAGGACCCAGAGTTCAACAACACAGATCAGATTGACCTGTATGATGATGTACTGACAGCCACTTCCCAGCCCTCCGATGACAGAAGCAGCAGCACTGAGCCTCCACCGCCCGTTCGCCAAGAGCCGTCTCCCAAGCCCAACAACAAGACTCCTGCAATTCTCTACACGTACAGTGGACTGCGTAACAGACGGGCTGCCGTCTATGTGGGCAGCTTCTCCTGGGTGAGCAGGACAACCAGAATGGCTACGGGTGGGCTGGATGGGACGTGCTGGGGGGTGATGGCATCTTCAGGAATCACATTGGCTGTTCTATGCTCTGATGGGGTTGGGTTTCTTTCTCCTGGGGTCAGATTGGATTGATCCCTCAAAGAGTTCTGCTGAGCACATACTGTGCTGAAGAAAACAATGATTAAGTGGGTAGTTGGTTTTTGTGCAGTGTTGTTACTGCCCCTGACCCTGGGGCTTTATGTCTAGCAGGGTCATCTGTGGGACGAGATTTCAGAGTGAACACCTTGAACTCTTGGTGGCCATTAGATGGTCCTGTGATAATGGTGGGTGACGGGGACCAAAGGCCTTGCTAGCTCTAGTGCTCTGGGTAGGTGGTGACTGTTGTTCTACAAAAGTTATAACCTGTTTTGGGGCTTGGGGTTGGGGGTGGGTTTTCCAAGTTAGGAACTATATGTTCAAGGGGAAAGTTTATGGCAGTGGGGTAATCTAGCCTAGCAGATCAATCATTAAAGCTACCAGTAATCATTGGAATTGATGACCAGCTAGCCCACATGGCAGTCAAAGTTAATAGGTTTTAATCTTAATTTCTAAATATGGGGATTAAGGAGGTGGTGGTTTGGAGTTCTTCATTAAGTCAGGACTTTAAGAAAAGCCTTTGCTAACTAAAATCTTGCTAGGCTCTTGGGTTCCTGGGGGAGACCGAGTTGTGACTAGATCTTAGGGGGGCATTTGGGGTGGGGGAGGGGTGGTAGCTCTTGACAGTTCTTCCTTTTCCATCTTGCCGGCCCCAGTGGACAACAGACCAGCAGCTGATCCAGGTTATTCGCTCTATAGGAGTCTATGATGTGGTGGAATTGAAATTTGCAGAGAATCGAGCAAATGGCCAGTCTAAAGGGTGAGGTCTGAATTTTGAGACACTCATTTCACTTTGTAACCATTTGGATAATAGATTTGCACTGTGTTTTGATGCTCATTTTATCCTTTCTGCCCTGGCCCAGTTTACTGCCTTGGTTCTGGAAAACCATCTTAGAGTAAGGATGTAACTGTAATGTACTGGAACATCCATCCATGGGGGTGGAGAGCGGGAGCTAAGAAAACTGGTTTTGAATTGTCCATTAGCAGGAAGAGAGCAAAGCAGCACCTTTGTGCTGTAGTTTAATGTATATTTTATTAGTACCAAGATATTCTGCACTTTGTTTTTATCAGTTTTCTAGTGAATCTCATTAACTTTTTCTTTTTCTTGCTCAAGATATGCTGAGGTGGTGGTCGCCTCTGAGAATTCTGTCCACAAATTGTTGGAACTTCTGCCAGGGAAAGTTCTAAATGGTGAAAAAGTGGACGTGAGGCCAGCCACCAGGCAAAATCTGTCACAGTTTGAAGCACAGGCTCGGAAACGTGAGTGCGTCCGAGTCCCAAGAGGGGGTACGTGGAGACCATCTGTATGAAAGGGGGGAGGTTTGTGGGCTGGTTTTGTCTGGTGCAGGCACAGCTTGCTGTGGGGGAAGGAGAGGGTGGTTATGGGTAACAGAATGGCTGATGGGTAGGAAAGAATGCCGCTCGTGGAGTCAAGTACATCCAGACTAGAGTTCAACTGTGCCTTTAACCTTGGACAGGTCACTTCACGGAGTAGGGCCATTTCTGAATTAGGTGGTGGCTAAGTCTCTATCAACTCTAAATTCTGTGATTTTAGTCCAAAAATCATGTAAAGTAAATGAATTTTAACTGCAGCCATTCTGTATTATAATTTAGAAATCATGTACAAAGGAAATAGGTATCTCTGTGAATTATCAAGAAGCCACCTGTCATGTAACAGTGACGTCGTTTTGTCATAAATGTGTGTTGGAAGCATGGTGTGCAGGAAACATTCCAAGAGAAGTGGAGATAAGAACTTAGTGTTTATCCAGCTTCGTTTGGAGGAAGGGACGCCTTTCCAGTTGCTGAATGTTTTGGGCTGCTTGGCAAATGTACCCCATTAATAAAGTTTCCTCATACTACCTTAGCTTGACCCCTCCAGTTTATGGTCCTCCTTCATTCTGATTGTACTCACCAAGCAACCATCTGGTACTAATTTGATTTCCCGGCTAGGCTCTCCTACTGGGAAGAGAATACGCTGGCCAGCTGACACACGTATTCCATCCAGTCTGCTTGGCAACTCCGTTTCTCATTGTAAATTAATAAATATTCTGGTTTGTGAATCAGTGTCTTGTGAGTTTGGTTAGGATAACTCAGTCTCCAAGGTCCAGTCACCTCAGGTGAAGTGATAAAACCCGAGTTTCTGAACCTATGAAAACGAAGGACTAGACCTTGAACTGTGCTGACCTCACAGAGTGCAGCCCAGTCTGACCCAATCGACCACCTTCACCTTTTTATTAATGCAGCAGGGTGATAGCCCAGCTCCACTGCCCACTCTGTCATTGAAGAGTAATGCCTGTATTGATCAGGTGTATCACCCAGGTGACAATCTGTCCAGCTGACTTGTAAAACACCAGCTGTTCTTTCGCCAGGTTGAGAATCTGGAGAGATAGAACATGAGCTCCAGGCATGTACTTTCCTTCCTTGACAGTCTGGATTTTCACAGCCCTTCCATCTCAGAGTCTGTCATTCAGTCCTCTTGACACTGTCTCCTGCTAAGGTGTCCTGTGCATTGGTCTGGGGGTAGCCTTTCTGTCTCCACTCTACTGCTTTTCCCTTGTTTCCTTTCTAAATCTGACATGGTGTTGGTTACCATGGATGTTTTTCTACTGATTTGGGCTCTGATTTGTCCTTTCTCTGCTTAAAACTAGTTACCCCTCTTGGGACTTGTAGCCATAGAGACAAAACAGAACCCTGGCAAATGGTGGCTGGTAATGGGATTAACCTTCAGAGATTCACACTTGCCTAATAAATACCTCCTCTTTGTTTGTTTGAGAGACCTGTGGGAGGTGAAGAGTAAGAGTGCTGTGACAGGTGCTGGCCATCGAGTGGCGAGACCAAGGTGGTTTTGGGGATTAATGCCACCTCTGATTAGGAGTTGGGATCGATGAGAGAGCTTGTGTTTTAGAAACACATTTCTAAAACTCTGAACCTGCTAATGCATCTTTGTACCTCCAGGCATGCAAGGCCCTGACTGGTCATCTTCCACATTAACTTGAGAGTAGACTGAAGTCAGCAAAACCATGTTTAATCACAGGACTTGGCAGAATTGGAAGCCATGCGTCCATGGAGGCACAGTTGATCCCCTGTTGTGCACACCTGTGCTAGCACGCGACCAAGTCCCCAGTAGATGCCTTGTGGGGTCGAGGGGCCGGCATTATGACGTAGGAGGCCCTGCTATCAGCTGTGTGCCCTCTGCTCCTTGTCCAGGCAGCTCTTTCCTTGCCTTAATTTCCAGTTCTCTTTCTTCCTCACTTACTCTCCAATCTTCTGCTCTTCATACTGGAGTGTCTGTCTAACCTATTCCAGTGACCAGTCTTTAGATGAGGCTGAAAGTGTTATTAATACACACATCCTCAGGCCTCGCCTCCTTGCTGTGCCCTCAAGTCCCTGAACCTGTGACCGTGCTGCACATGTGCTGCAGAATGTGGTGTCAGTCTAAAGAGAGAGGCCCTGAACTCTTATCAGGAGAGGTGGGATTTCAAGTCAAGGAATCTAAGCAAGCAGCAGAGAGCACACTTGGCATGGATTACCAGGACCCCTCAACGCTTAGCTGAATAAAAGGCTGAATTAATTGTCTTCTTTGAGTACATATTGAAAGTGTACTTGGAATTCTGGCTGGAAAGCATACTTTGACCTAGAAGATCTGAGGGCTGCTGTCTCTTGATCTGTGCTGTAACTGACTTTTTCTCCGAGGCTAGCTGTGTTCCTCAGTATGATCTCAAAGGACTCTTACTGAAGGGTGAACTGGCCCGTGACTGAAACCTGGGCAGTAATATTACTTCTGTTTTGCCCCCTAGGAATACCTCCACGGGCCCACTCCCGAGACTCCAGTGACTCTGCTGATGGAAGGGCCACACCCTCTGAGAACCTTGTACCCTCATCTGCCCGTGTGGATAAGCCCCCCAGTGTGCTGCCCTACTTCAGTCGCCCTCCTTCAGCCCTCCCCCTGATGGGTCTGCCCCCACCCCCAATCCCACCTCCACCACCTCTCTCCTCAAGTTTTGGGGTCCCTCCTCCTCCTCCTGGTATCCACTACCAGCATCTCATGCCCCCACCTCCTCGATTACCTCCTCATCTGACTGTACCTCCCCCTGGGGCCATCCCACCTGCCCTTCACCTCAATCCAGCCTTCTTTCCCCCACCAAATGCCTCTGTGGGGCCTCCACCAGAAACTTACATGAAAACCTCTACACCGTACAACCACCATGGCAGGTAAGAACTCTGTCCCTCCTTTCACACAGGAGTTAAGCATATATAGTGCACTAGTTCTTGTTTTGTAACGATCTCTGAGGCAGAACTGACCCATCGCTGACCCTCTGGCAGGTTTTCAGAAACAGTGAATTACACATGAGGAGACTGTCCTATCTTTCTCCTCCAGAGTAGCTGGTAGATTCGAACCATATGCCTTCAGTTTAACAGTGCAGCTCCTTGCCGCTGAGCTCCCTAGTGAAGTGGACTGTGTTAATAAGAATTTTCACCCCAAGGGAGTAAGCACTAAATTCTTGTTTCTTACTCTTGTGAGATACCTACTGAGTGTTGAATCTTGGGAAGTAGTTAACCATCTATGTGTTAATGCTTTTGTTTGATGTTTCTTTGCATCTTATTCAGTAGGCTTCTGCAATCTCTTTTTAACAAGTTTGATGAAATCGAGGTCATTAAGTGAGTAGAATTTCTAAAGTGTATGACATACAACCTGTCAAAAATATGTGACATAAAGTCTGTCCTTAAAGAGCAGAGGAACTGTTTGAGAACCATTTAACACATAAAATAAAGCACAGTTAACACGTTTTGTAACTGAAAAACCAAACCCAATGCTATTAAGTAGATTCCAACTCTTGGATACCCTATGTGATACAGGTAGACCTACTTCATCAAATTTATTTTTGGGAGCTCTTCCCAGGCCTTTCGGGGTGAGTTTGAACCAGCAAGGTTAGAAGCTGATTGCAGACCGCCTGCTCCCTCCAGGGGTCTTAACAGTGCTGTAGAATGTGGCATCGATAACAAGGGGTCTGGGCAATCAGGAATGTTAATATCTCTGCAGCCGAGATTCGGGCGCTCCTCCCACTACAGTGAGTGAAGCAGAATTTGAGGAGATCATGAAGCGAAACAGAGCAATTTCCAGCAGTGCCATTTCTAAAGCGGTAGCGGGAGCCAGTGCAGGTAATTCCCATTGACCCATGCTACCTTCCCTTTGCCTTCATTCCCTCCATAATTTTATTGTTGACATTGACAGGAGCACCGTTAGGATTCTCCAGAGTGTTCTGTTTTAGAAAACAGTATGACCTGATTTCTTGGGTTTTTTGGAAAGCTTTAATGTTTAATAATAGTACTTATTTTCTCCATCCAAACCAACTTAGTGACTAGAAGATAATGATTAGATACCATTTGATTGCAGTATTTAGGCAGAGTGATAGTCCTTCTTCGTATAGATCTTAACCTTAGTCTCCGTGTGGTGGGTCCAATGTTGCGTGTAGACCACTGATTTTTTTAGAATGTCATTTTCACTAGACAGGAGTCTGAATTACTTCTGGGAGTCTAGATGCAACTGAGGTCTACCTCCATGTAGTCTTTTCTAGAAAGGCAAGTCTTTTGGACATCATATAACTTTTGCCCAACTCTCAGCTTTAAGTGAGCAGAACCAGAAATCATGATTCTGAAAGCTGCGAAATAATTGGTTCTGAAGAAAAGAGGATTTGAGAGGTTTCTGGGTCTGAGTTTCTCTGCAATGTTTGTATGTGTTGTCAAGTTGGAATGGAGCAGAGCTGACCCTGCTGTGGTTTTCAGAGCCTATGAACGAGGTCCGTCTTTAGAGAAAGCTGTTTGGGGATGGGTGCCTTGGGGTTGCCAGCACATCTTCTTCCCTCTGGGCCACAAGAGAGCCCCGTACTTCTCTGGTCTTATGTACTTAATGGGTCCCCAGCTCCGTGAATCCATTCCACCTGACAGCACATGCAACAACACATACCCTATGCGATCTTTGAAAGCATGGTTTTACCCAGAACTTAGTCTTTTTTTTTTCTGTAAGTTCTCATGAAGTAGGTTAAAGACAGAGTCAGTGTTCTCTTTTTCTTCCTATCAGAATATCTTCACTGACTTTAGTGAATCATCTTAAAATGAAAAAAGCAATACATGCTTACGACCACATATCCCCTCCTCAGAGAGTAAGAAAGCAGTCCCTGTGTCCTCTGACTGCCAGTGCCTCCCTTCTGACACGAGCGAGAACAGAATCTTTACCTCATTCCCTTTTTATGACTCCGACTACAAGAATTTCTTGAGTGCCTGCAGCACAAGAGCATGCCATCCTCTAACGGGGCTGATGTCCTGGTGTTTCTGGACCTTCACAGTTCACAGAGTTCCTATCACTTCCTTACACAGTGGAAGCTGGCAAACGACATCTCCGCTAGACTCCTGCCCCAAATATTGTGTCCTGTGTTGGCTTCTGTCCTTAATGCTTTTGACTTAGGAATAACGTTGTGCAGGTACTCACGGCGTAACCTCATCCTTGGGGCACGCAATGGCAAGTTAAGGAGCTAATTGTTGATGGCAGCATTATTTTTGTAAAACTATATGTCTACTGTTACATAAGTATGTATGCATATGAACATATGTGCCATCAAGTTGCCTGTCACTCATAGTGACCCTATTTACAACAGCTCTGAAGTCTGCCCTATTCTGAGCCAGTCTCACTGACTCTGATACACCTGCCCCCATTGTACGAGTTACTGTATCGATCCATTTCATCCGAGGTCTTCCTCTCCTGCATTTTCTCTCCGCTCTTCAGAGCATGATGTCCTTCTCCAAGGACCAGTTCCACCTGGCCACGTGCCCAAAGTGTGTGAGGTGCAGCTTCAAAATCCTAGGCTCCAAGTAGAAACTTGGTTTCACCTTCTCCAAGACAGACTTACTTGTTTTCTTGGCAGTTCATGGTATGTTCAAGACTCTCCAAGTAGAAACTTGGTTTCACCTTCTCCAAGACAGACTTACTTGTTTTCTTGGCAGTTCATGGTATGTTCAAGACTCTTATACAGCACCACAACTCAAAGGCATCAGTTCTTTTGTCATCCTTAGTCATTGTCCAGCTCTCTGATGCATAACAAGTAATTGTGAAGATTAGGTGCACCTTAGTGTCTGCACTGACATTGTTGCTCTTCAACATTTTGAAGAAGTCCCTGATGGCAGATTGTCCCAGTGCTGGTGCCAGGAGTGTTGATTGCAAGATCTAATTGTTAACAACCTCAAATCTCTTCACCATATATCATGGTTGGCCCAGTGGTGAGAATCTGTCTTCTTGATGTTGAATTTCAAGCCATATTGAAGACTAGGGTCCTTGACCTTCTGCTGCAAGCTCTTCAAGTCCTCCTTGGTTTCAGCAGCCAAGGTTGTGTCATCTGTATAACGTAGGTTATTTATGAGTCTTCTTCCAATCCTGAAGCCGCATTCCTCTTAATAAAGCCCAGCCTCCCAAAAGATCTGCTCTGCATATAGATTGAAAAGGTATGGAGATAGGACACATCTCTGACTCGCTTCTTTCCTGATTTTGAACCAAATGGTGTTTCCTTGCTCTTCTTCCTGGTCTGAATATAGGTTTTACATGAGCACAATCAGGTGTTCTAGGATTACCATTTTCCTCAAGGTTAGCCACAGTTTGTTGTGATCTACACAGTCAAGTACCTTTGCATAGTCAGTGAAACACAGATAGCTATTTCTCTGGTACTCTCGGCTTTCTGACAAGATTCATCTGATATTGGCAATAACGTCTAGTGCCACAACCTCTTCTAAATCCATCCATCTGGTACTACTGGCCGTTTTCTTTGTTTCTGGATAATCGTAAGCAGGATTTTGCTTGTGTGTGATATTAGTGATATTATTCAATCATTTACACACTTGTCAGGTCTTTGAAATGAGAATAAATATAGATATCTTCCACTCAGTTGGTCAAGTAGCTGTCCTCCAAATTTCTTTGAACAACCTAGAGATAAAATATTTCTTTAAAATGAATATTTAAAAAGAATTCCTGCTGGGACCACCACCAAGACTGCTCTAAACAATTTTGTAAATGTTCTACTATATTTTTTCATTACATTAATTTTTTTTAAAAAAATCAAAATAATACATTGTTTTGCAACGTGTTTGTTTCAGTTAATGTCATGGACGTCCCTTATGTCTACATGGAATGGATCTATAATTTTATTGAGCCTTTACTGTGTCCCTGGCAGTGTGTTGAACACTTTAGTTGTATGCTTCTTATGTGTACAGACTGACTTCTGCTTTTTAACAATGTAATGTCTTGGACTTTCTATTCTAAACTATGCAACATTCTGTAGAATACAGGTTGCGTAATTTAGTATATAGCCACACCCTAGAGAATAAATTTAATGTCGTCTCCAGTTTTTTAATTTAACAATGCTAGAACACACACTTTAAAAAAGACTTATAAACATTTTTTAATGTTTAGGATAAAGTTGAATATTTTATCATCTTAATATTTTTT